AGTTGTTGTACGAGTATGAGTTGCGATGACAATGAACGGAAGAGAGAAGGAGTGAAGAGAAGACAAGAGAGGAGAGAAGCAGGAATGAAGAGGAGGAGGAAAGAAGAGGAGGAGTGAGAGGAGAAGAGAGAAGGAGAAGTTGCACACTTGTACGATGGCAGTGCGTGCAGATTCTCTCAGCGCTAAAAGAAAAGTTAGACGTAGAAGTTGAATGGAGAAGGAGGAGGAGGAGGAGGAGGAGGAGGAGGAGGAGGAGAAGCACATAATGATAATAACATCGACGATTGAGAAGGAGGAAACCGATTTCTCATCTACCTGTCTCCTGCTGATCGTCCCACCAGTTCTTCTTCTCCATGAACATGCGCATGCGCGCTAAGGGATTGTTTGAGAGTTTCCTGCTATCGCATCAGGAGGAGGAGGTGCAGGGACAAAGGAAACTACAGTGAAGAAGCAGGCGCTGCAGCAACAGGAGGAGGAGGAGGAGGAGGAGGAGGAGGAGGAGGAGGAGGAGGAGGAGGAGGAGGAGGAGGAGGAGGAGGAGGAGCAGGAGGAGCAGGAGCAGGAGGAGGAGCAGGAGGAGGAGGAGGAGGAGCAGGAGGAGGAGCAGGAGGAGCAGGAGCGAATGGTTGTCTCACCAGCTCGAGACTTCATCGTTTCCCCGATATCGCGAAGCGTCGTCAGAGGTTGAGTGATTCCCTCCTCTAGAAGCAAAGATAAGAAACAAAGAGGAGGAGGAGGAGGGGGACGAGAAGGCAAGGAGAGACAAGGAGGGTGGGGTCGAAGGGAAGGAGGAGCGACTAACCTGTAGGTCATGGCTTCGATGAGGACGGGAACTTTCTGCGAGATTGCTATCTTCCTCGCCTGAACCTCATCACCATCCTCCTTCTCCTTCCCCTCCTCCTTCTCCCCCCTCCCCTCCTGCTCCTCTTCCTGCTCCTCTTCCTGCTCCTCTCCTCTCCTTTCTCTCCTATCGAGCTTCACCTCATCCATGATCTTGTGGACGGCCCAGACGTCGTTGCCGTCGCATCTCGCAGTCTGCGAAGGAGTGAGAACGCGAAAAGGAGGAAGAGGATTAGCGGAGGAGGGCAAGCGGAGGAGATGGAGTGAGAAGGCGAGGGGAGGAACAGAAAGAAGAAATCAACGAAGGAGTACATGAAAGGAGGAGGGAACGAGGAGGAAGTAATTGAGGAGAAAGAGGGGAGGGAGGAGGAAGGGAGGGAGGATGATTGGGTTACCCGAATATTGTAGCTCACTCCCCTCACTGCTATCCCGTCGCCTCTGTACTGCTCGCGGATGGGGGTAGAGATAGCGTAGCCGTTGTTGCGGCAGAAGAAGATGACCTGCATCCCTTCTCATTCCCTCCTCCTCCCTCCCCCCTCCTCCCTTCTCCCTCCTCCTTTAACGCCTCCACCTCCACCTCCACCTCCACCTCCACCTGAACATCCTCCTCCACCAACACCTCCTGCTCCCGCTCCTGCTGCTCCTCTTGCAAACACTTGCGCATTCTCACTGTTCACTTAATTGCGACCTCTCACGTCCCATCCCTTCTATAGTCTCTCCTTGTTGAGCTTTTCCGTTCGGTTCTTCTTTCCTCTTTCGTCTTTCGTCTTTCCTCCTCCTCTCTGCGCCTTCGCTTCTCCTGCTCTCACCGGACAGTCGAGGGTGGACGCGAAGTTGAGAGCACCATGAAAGTCGCCCTCGCTTGCAGCTCCTGGGCGCGCGTCAGGCACGAGGAGATGAGGAGCGAGGAAGGGGATGGTTGACGAGCTGAAGCAAGCAGCTGCTCGAGCAGCACGAGAGGAGGATAGACGATGACAGTTGCTGGATAGGGTAGGAATGGTAGCAAGACAGGCAGGACAAGGACGGGAAAGAGGGGTAGCACTCATGGATATTTCACCATCTCCGAAGTAGCAGACGACACAGGCTTGCCGTCCTTGGAGCTTCATGGCGTATGCAGCACCTGCTGCCTGGAGGAGGAGAGGGTGAGCAGGGGAGGAGGAAGGCAGGTCAAGAGCAGGGACTGGTCCGCATCGACCTGCGGGAGCTGCGTCGCGAGAGGAGAGGAGATGGTGTGAAAGTTGTGTCTCTTGCTCCCGTAGTGGACGGGCATCTGAAACTTCTGTCAGGTTCAGAACGATTCTCATCCTATCAACCCTCTCTTTGTTCCCCTCCTCTCCTCTCCTCTCCTCTCCTCTCCTCGCTCCATGCTCTGTTGTCTTTCTTTCTCACCATCCTCCCTTTGTTGGAGTCGTCTCTGTTCCCAACGCACTGGTCGCACATCTCCTGCATGCTGTACCCTCGCCAAAGAAGCACCTGCATCATCTCAACATCTCTTACTCCTCCCCTCTCTCCTTCCATCCTTCCCTCTCCTCTCCCCCACCCTCCTTCCTCCTCTTCCATTCTCCGTGCTGCATTGCCCCTTCCCCTCTCCTCACTTCAACGAATTCTTTCCTCTCCCCTACTCACTCCAGCCTCGCGATATTGTCCAAAAACGACATCCTCGTCTTCAAGAGCAGCTGCGCTTCCTATGTGAGTAGCCTGAATGACAGGGTGAGAACAGCAGAGGAGGCGAGCAGGAGGACGGGGAATGAGAGAAAGGGGAAAGCAGAACAATCCTTGTCATGCTCAATCCGGTGAAACAATATGAAAACACTACCTCTTCCCCATAGTTGGTCATATAGAAACTCAGTCGTCCCTGCATTGAAGGTGAATCGTTAAGGACAAGCGACAAACTTCTGGTGCACTTGTCTTTGTGCTTGGTAGAGGATAGAGTCAGTCACATTCAACTCAACCTGAAACAGCACGTCAGATGCAGCACTCAACAGGCAGCAGCATCACCATCGTCTTGTACATTCTCTATGATCGGGAAAACGTAGATGAACATTGTCAACAACACTCAACAGTTCCCCTTCTTGCCTCTCTTCACCTGACATTTCTCCTTTGAGACATCTGTGCAACACGAGAACTATCAGAGCCCTTCACATCATGGGATCACTCGGACCTGGTTCAAGAGAGGGATCGAGGATATTCCCGTTCTCGTCCATCACCTTTGACTATCGTCAGATATCCACGAAACTGTGTTGTTGCAACAGACCCGGAATGTCAAGAAAGGCTCATCAAATCTGCTGATGAACTGAAGATCAAGTTCCGAGGAAAACTGAAACACCACTGTAATCAACAAACGTCGATCCTGGTGGAGACATGGTCTTCACCCTGCCGATGTTGGGATGGACTGCGATGTCGGGGGAGGAAGCGAACGAACGGGAAGCGCGACCGCAGCTCCTTGCCAGCCTCCAGCTCGTTCGAAGAAGAGGAGCAAACCTCGACATACTGAGACTGATATGAAACATGTCAGTTTTCAGCTCAGTTCTAGCGAACAAACGAAAATTTCCTTGCAAATACTATCCATCGAGCAATACACACCAACAAAGTTCTCGCAGTACAACCACGTCTCTCGGGCCCTCTCATTCCAACAAGAGACGCATAACAATGTCACCCAGCATATTATCTTGCCCTGTACCTACTTGCATCATACGATCAAATTGCTGCATAACATTCCTATGCCTTGCTTCATGCTATCTTCCTCAACCCCTTGGGTACCTTAACTGACTCTTTGCTTCTGATCATATCCTCCTGCCCATTCTGCTCTTCATGGCATGCTTTTCCTCCCGGTTTGCTTCCTCCTCTTCTTCTCCTTCTCTTCCTCCTCTTCCTTCTCCTTCGCTTCCTCCTTTTCTCCTCCTCCTCTTCCTCCTCTTCTTCTCCTTCGCTTCCACTCGCGCATTTGTATGGCATTGCATTTTGTGACTGCAACATGGAGGTGCAACCAAATGTTAACTAAAGTTTCTAGTCACACCGTCGGGGGCCGCCCGCCGCCGCCGGGCCCCGGTCACCGTGACCGGCGTCACCAGAGTCTGCGCCGCCGCCGGCTCGCCCGGCGCGGCCGAACTCCGGACGGACTCCGCCCGGCGACCGTCACTGGTAGTGGAGTCAGTTGATCGGACTTGACTTGGACTGCCCGGCCAGCCTGAGGTGCCACTTGAAGCAAGTTTCACAGTCTGACTCTTCACTGGATAATCGGATCAGTGCCGGCCGGGGGCCACTGGGGGTTCAGCGTTTGTCGGATTCAACCGTGACGGTGTTACTAGCCTTAGTAACTGTGACTGGACTCCTTGAAGCGTACCGTACGGTGGCGGGGCCGCCCGGAGCACCGCGGCCGCGGCGTGTAACGTACGGTCGGCCCGTTGAATCCACCGGATCCATCGGTATCATAACCGTATAACCGCCAAGCAGAACCATGCCAGTAGTTCAAAGTTCTGCAAAGCCTTCTAGAACGATGACACCCCGTGTGCTACTATGAAATATTTATTTAATAAATCAAAACCATAACAAACTTTACTTACTATTCAATTATTTAACTACCCCGCAACCACCCTACCCCCTTACCACCTGAGCTGAACCCTCTCGAACCCTACCTTCCTTTCTATTTTACCCCCTATAATCTCCCAAAATAACCCACCATTGCATCTGATGACCCACCCCTGAATCTTCCATGATGTATCACCCCACCCCTCAATTCTCTGTACACCCTTCCCTGCCCCGTCGAGCCCTTATAAAGGCAATACACTGCCGCGGCAAGCAGAAATCAGCATGCCGCTCAAGGAGGGAGACAGCGTTCCATCGGTGAGATGACGAGGAGGTTGTGAAGAATGTCTTTGAGTAGAGAATGTTTGAGGATGGTCGGACAAGTATGATGAATCGGACTCCACGGAAGTGTTAGCAAGTGCTTGCTTGATCAGCAAAGAATGTTTGTCTAGCTCAGACTTGAGTGATCATGGTGAAAGTTTGGTGTAATGTGCATGCATGGAATATTGGCTTATCTTCTTTGGATTTGAAGCTTCTTCACTGCCAAGGGTGTCCTTTGATGTGTTGATGCCCAGAGAGTTGATAGTGAGGCTTGATAGCTGTTTCAGCACAGTCAGTTCAATAATCAGACTGATGAGGCTAGTTTGTTCTATGGAAGTCTTGTCTGAGGAAGTCTCGTTTGAGGAATTCTTGTTTACAAAGCATATGACATTAAGATCTAGGTCACTTTTAAGTGCCGCGTCCGCGACGAATCCATCGGAGGAGAGAATCCCTTCACCTGGAAGGATGTCAAGACCGAGGACCTCTGCAAGGGCAAGCGCGTTGTAATCTTCGCTCTTCCCGGAGCCTTCACCCCAACCTGCTCCTCCACCCACTTGCCGGGATACGAGAAGCACTACGAAGCGATCAAGGCTGCTGGCGTCGATGATATCTACTGCCTCTCTGTCAATGATGCCTTTGTAATGCGCCAGTGGGGTTTGAAGCAGGGGTGCGAGGAGGAGTCCAAGGACGCCTCCAACCCGTTGAACCCTGGAAACTTCAAGAAGGTCAAGCTTCTTCCTGATGGCGCCTGCTTGTTCACTCGTGGGATGGGCATGAGCTGCACTTGGGACAGCGAGAGAGGATTCGGAGAGCGCTCATGGAGGTACAGCATGGTCGTTAAGGACATGAAGATCGAGAAGATCTTCATCGAAGGAGGCGCAATTGTTCAGAACTCTGGACCTGACCCCTTCGAGGTTTCCGATGCCGACACCATGCTCAAGTACTTGACCACCAAGTGAACTCATCAAGTGATTGGTAGACTTTGAGCAGTCTTGGTATATTATATTTGTTACATTGTCTGATTACAATGATCACTTCAAATAGAGTCGCAAGCATTTCCGTTTTTTGATACTTTCCTTCATTCATTATAAATCTTCTCTGTAGTACAGCATGTGCTCTGACGATGGTGAAGTTCTTCTGAAGTTGTCGCTATCCGAAAACATTGTCTCTGTGTTATTTTGTGCAGATTCGCTTGATGCGCCGCTGAACGGCACAGTTTTGCACACGTTGTCCACTGAAGATAAGATGTTACTGACAAAATTTTGCGCGTTGCAGGTCAAAGAGTAGACGTGCAAATCAAAATTGTCCGCATCAAAGTGCTTTGAAATCTCAGATCCCAAATTTGGCGTGATCAACGGAGTGACTGTCAAAACTTTTGGCTTCGAGCTGAAAGTTACCTCTGTTGACCCCTCAGACTCTGATTCTGAGTCTGATATTGCATCCCAATTTCTTTCCCAGTTTTTTGTTTTCATTTTTGTCTCTTGAGATGATCCATAGTCGGAAAAGGAGTATGACCTTGCCGAAAGGTGTTCTGATGCTGTGGTGATCGAAGGGCTGGTCAAACAATCCTCTTTGCCCTTAAGCTGCCACGCTTTCTTTGGCATCGAACGATAGGGGTAGCAAGAGAGTTTGGTTTGTTGGGGCACTACTCAAGAAACTTGACGATATTATGAATCTTCATCCACTTCTGGTCCATGCGTATCCGCTGTTCTTGTTTAGAAAACTCATGTAAGGAACATCTCAGAGCAACCAAACGAGTATTTTGTATAAGTCATCTGCTGCAACGGTGGCTTCAATCTGAAACATGTTCGTCAGAAATCAATGATTTGCATTTTCGTTCAAAATCAGACTTGTGCTCAACATCAAATGTGCTCATTCAGAGCCGAGTGCAATTCAACAACCAAACATGCAGCAACTGATGAAAAATGTCTAGAGATTTTTTTTGAACATGGTTATCAGGTTTACGTATGAACTGAATGGATTTCATAGCTAAAAAATTCCATAAAACAATGATAGAAATCTTATGCATGATGTGATTGCAACTCAAATCATGAGGAACAGTGAAGGAAACGACTAGAGCTGTGGAAAACTGAAAAGAACATGGTTGAGGAGCTCTGAAAAAAGGTCTCAAAAATTTTACTCTTTGAATGACAGGCGATGAATCACACTCAAGATCAGTGTTGAAAATCTGATTGGACTGAGTATAGGATGGAGTTTACAAAATCAAGAAAATTTGCTCATATGTGAGGAAAAAATGGAAACGCAAGGAGCAGGTTTGGTGAGCCTGCACGCAGGAGCAGTCAGGAGGAATGAGAGGGAGGGAGGTGGAGGGAGAGAGAGTGGGGGGGAGGAGGAAGGAGGGGATTGGGAAAGGAAAAGTATCATCGAAATGATGCTGTTCTTCTCTCATCAGTGCTGCGTTTTCCTGAGCTACTACTCAGTGGGACAGCGGGGACCATTGCAGTACGGGAACAACATGGTGAATGATATGGGGTGGGGTGGGTTTGTCATGTCCAGGTGGGGTAAAATATTGCTATCGAATGACCATTTTCAAACTCTAAGGGTGGGGTGGGGTATAATCGACACCGGGTTCCCAAGCGGATCATTGACTCCTTGGGGGTAGGGTGGTAGTACAATAGTATCAAGGGGTCGAAAGGTTGAGAGTTGGGGTCAAGTAGTCGGGCTACCCTATAAAAGAGGGGTGGGGGTTGTGTTTCAGCAGGGGTGGTCCCATGTTGGTTTGAGACCCCAGGTCGAAATTGACTCTTAGTTTTCGAAATTTAGGTGAAACAATTGAATTATGATCAATTTGAGTCAGTCCTGAATCGTTCCGAGAGTCACGCTCTCAGTTTTACTCAAAGTTAAGTTAAAGATCAGTACGAGGACAATCAGGAGAGTCGAGGAGGGATACTGAGTGCTTGCCCGGCCCGGCCAGTTCAACGGTTTGTCAGTCCGGGACTCGGGGCCGTCGGCGTACAGGCCCCGGCGCCATGCACACTGGCAAGGACCCGGCCGGGCCGCGGCCCGGCCGGGCGGCGGGGCTGGGCCGCGGCCGGGCCGAGCCCGGCTCGGAGTGTCCGATCACTCAGCGGCGGCGTCCCGGCGGCCCGCGGCCGCCGCCGGATCACCGATGAAGGGCCCGCGGCCGCCTGCCGGCGTGACAGCCTGTGGCGGCCAGACTGTATCGGATCGGACAGGCGTGATCTGGCACACTGTCGTGAATCATCCGACCGGCCGCGCGTTGGCGGCCCTTCGCCGAGAGTCGCGCCGGGCCCGGCGGACTCAGTCCGGGCTTCACCACTCGCACTGACCGTGCCACCGCGGCACACTGTCAACAACTAAGTTCAGTGCTGCTCACTGAGTCAGCAGTGCCGCGGCGGCTCACTGTCACGCCGGGCGGTCCTGAGTGGCCCAGTGGGTCGGAATCGCGGCGCCCGGTGCGATCGGACGGCGCCGGCGGCGCGGCCCCGTGAGAGTCACGGTCACGGTGGCCATTCGGAAGTTCCGAAGTTCCGGGCCCGGAGATCTCAGCACAGCGGCAACCCTCATACCGCACGCGGCATCCCTTGACTCTTGAACTTTGTCCGAAACTGATTCGAGATCCGTAGGTGATACGGTACAGATTGCGGTACCTTTAATTTGTACCATATCGGATATATATATATGCAATATTTCCCCACCCCCACCATTGATTGCAAGTCATGACCAGGGATTTTGGACGGGTCCTTGGTCTCAGACGAAAGGGTGGGTAGGGGTCGATTCAACGCGGAGCCATCGCGCCTCTTCGGGCATGCCGCGCCTCTACGGCACCAGCGGCGCACCCGTCGATGCAGCGCCGCCGAAGACAAGGTGAGGAAGAGGAGGAGGCGAAGAAGAATGTCATGGAAGAGCATGGGATGGCTCTTGAGGGCAGGAAAAATCAACGAACCGAGAGGGAGGGAGAGAGCTTGGAAGATGTCTGTTTGGAGATGCAGTGAGCTCTCGCAGGCGATGGGGGTGAGGAGGAGGTGGATGAGGAGGAGAAGGGTGTGGATGCATGGGATGATAGGAGTATGCAGCGGAGGAGTCTTGTGAGGTACATGCTGTTTCGTGAGGGGAGTCTTTTTGATGGTAAATGTCTCGAGGGGCGATGTGATGGGCCTGAGCAGGAGACTCGTATCATGGTCGCTGGTTGGAGCGACGCTCGGCCTTTGCGCAATGGCTGGCTTGATGTTGTTGAGAACTGAGCATCGGTCTTCGCTGCTGAGTCTTCCCAACATGGGGAAGGCGAAGAAAGACATAGCGGCCTTGGACCAGGAGATCCAGATGGACCTGTCGGCAAACCATGCGCTGTCTCAGAAGTATGCCAAGACGATGAAAGGAAAGAATGGTTGCCATTGCGACTGCTCCCAGTCAGCGCCGGAGTTTCGCGTGAAGGCAGCCACGATGCTGGAGCAAGTGGGAGAGGTGCGCAGATGGCGGGGAGGAAGGAGAGGGGAGGGTATGTGACGTTGGTGGGTTGGTGGCAGAGCGCGTTCTTTGGTCCATGCTCGAGCTGTCCATGCATGAAGTCGAGCAGCATTGAGACGGAGGTACCGGAGAGGGAAAGGAGGAGGAGCGAGGGAGGAGGGAAGGGTGACGTGTTGGGGTCAGATCACGGATCTCTCGAACGACGTGGAAGTGGCGGAAGCGTTTGAGCGGAGCATCGACAAGGTGGAGAAGGAGAAGATCCCAGTCGACATCATCATGCGGGTGAGCGATAGAGGGAGGGAGGGAGGGAGGGAGGGAGACGAAAGCAACGGAGGGGGGGAGGGGGAGCACGAGCAGGAGAGAGAAAGAGGATGTAAGGACTAGGTCGGAGGAGAAGGGAGGCCGTGGAGGGAGAAGCCTCCGATGAGGGCTATCATGCCGTGCATAAGGCGCAAGAAGCGCTGAGGGCCGGGCAGGTCGGACAAAAGGGCAGCAAGGAGCACAGGGACCAAGAGGCTTCCGCGGACCGGAGGGACCCGTCGGCTCTGAAGGACCACAAGGGCCAACAGGTAAGGAGGGGTGGAGTTTTGGTGCATGATCTGGGTACTGGATGGGGCGTGTGTGACGAGGGTTGCAGGAGAGAGAGGGTCGAAGGGGGAGACCGGGCCTGAGGGACCCCGAGGACCCAAGGGAGTGGATGGTGCTGCTGGTGAAGACGGGCTGCGTGGACCACGAGGGGTACCAGGTAGCCGAGGGAGAAGCTGTTGAAGAGGAACTTGTTTGACAAGCACAACCAGGTCCTCCGGGCCCACCTGGTCAGGAAGGAGCTCCTGGAGATCGTGGAAACGAAGGGAAGGCTGGATCTGCTGGCGTTCCTGGACCTCCAGGAGCGACTGGAGCAGAAGGACCTCGTGGACCACCTGGGCCTCCGGTTGGCAAGGTGAGACACAAGATCTTGTACATGGAGGAAGTGGTAGAGATAGTGGCGACATTGGTGCCAAGCAAGCAGTGGATAGGAAATGTCAGAGAGTTTTTTGTTTTTTGTTTTTGATCATTGTTGTATCTTCTTTCGTTTTCTTGTGTGTATCTGTGTATGTGTGTGTCGATGAATCTCAGAAGTGTGTTGTCCTGCGAAAGGCTGGGGAATTAGAGATGGCTGGTAGATGACCTTGTATGCAGCCTGGGCCTCCAGGAGACGAAGGTCCTCAGGGATCTCCTGGTCCGAAAGGTGCGAAGGGCGATCGAGGGCCCGGTATGACAGAGTGGACGAGGCTTGAATCATGCTGATGACGTGTCAAGTCGGATACATCGGGCCCAACGGAGCGGACGGTGAAAAGGGAAGCCCAGGACCCCAAGGATCTCGGTAAGTGTCGGGGGCACAGGATGCGGATAATAGGCGGTGACATTGCGGGCGCAGGGGAATTCCCGGACGTGGATGTGATGGCATCTCGCCCACTGACGGCTCTTTTCCCAAGAGCATCGACGCCTGCGGCTTGTGCGGGGGAGACGAGAGCGAGTGCGCGACGGGCCGATCATCGCGCACGGCACATGCAGTTGGAGATCCTCACTACTTGACTTTCGACGGGTGCGTGTTCACAGAGCGATAATGTGCTTGCTTGAGCATTTGATGTGAAAACATGTTACTCGTGCCATATTCATGAAGTCATGTCACTTTTGCTTTTTGCTTTGCCTTAACGTCTCATGGTTGCATACAGAATTTCCTTTGACTATCAACACACCGGAGAGTTCATTCTTGCTCGCCACATGAACAGCATCGAGCTTCAGAACAAACAGGCACGTGCTTGCGCCTTGACATCGAATATCTTCATATCTTTTCTGGTCGCCTCCTCTAACTCAAGCTCGTGTTAGATGCCCTGCCCGAACCCCAACGTTAGATGCAACATCGGGATAGCGATCATCACGAAGAATTACAACATCATTTTCCGGTCTGATTGGAGAACGGAACACGTAAGCTTGCCTATGACGAAAGTATGGCGGATATGAACATGTTGTTGGCCGCAGATGATGGTGAATGGAGAGCTGTGGACCCAGGGAGCACAGTACCAGTACAACAAAATCCAGAGTCTGAATGACTATACAAGCTTTCAAGTCACGTAAGTAGCAGAGGTGAGGGAAGTGAGAAGTACGCTAAACGATTATCTGCAGTGGGAGCTCTTTCTATGTTTGGTTCAACGACTTTGTTGGCGCCGACGGAGCTGTTGCGTCGGCAGACCAGGTAAATCCATGTAGTGTCAGGAGCAAGACGTTCGTAAGCTATTCAACAGTGCGGATGGGGAAGTCCGTTGCCAAATGGAATTTACCACAATGTCTACTTCCAGGCTCCAGGACGCTGGAGCTCGGGCTTGAGGTGGGGACAAGGAAAGTAGCTTGACAACATTGACTTTCACGTAGTATGACGGGACTGTTCGCAAACTTTGACAACAACGCTGATGATGACTGGGATTCGATCTCGCCGTCTGAAATGTATGCTCGGAGTCCGAAAGATGGAAGTAGGGGGGGACAGTGCAGGGAGGAGGTGGAATAGCGGCAGAGAGGGGGAGGATAGCAGAGTGAATGTTGAAGGAGGTAGAAACAAACGAAGGGGAAGATTACAGGAAGTAGAGATGAGAAGGGTGGCTCGTGCGAGCTCATCTGGCTGGATGATTTAAGGTTGTCTTTGTGAACATATTGCGTCACAGGTGGTGGGTCGAGGGCTCGTCGCATTCAGCATTCTCAAACCCGACATACCGGCTGGTGAGGGAGTGAATGAAGGAGGAAGGAGGGAGAAGACCCTGAGGTACTCGTTGGCAGGACTGGACCAACAGGATCACAAAGCAGAGTGTTGCTGCGCGAGGTAGCCTTCCCATTCTTGCCATCACCAGAGACAAGGTGAGAGATCGGACAAAGATCAGACAAGGCGGAAAGAGGACCTCACGCTGAATGCTGTGCAGTACGGAAACGTGTTCCACAACACCAACTGGACTGTAGCGGATGAACTGAGAGCGTTCAAGGTGATGATGCGCAGCAGCGGACCAAGAGGACAGAGTAGCATGGGGCATGAAGGTTTGACATGCAGAGCAGGAAGTCGATCCCTACACTGCTAAGATGCGGAGGCGTCTGTTCGAGAAGATGGCCAAGGTTACTGAGGCTGGGGAAGAGCATGACGTCAGTGTGACGGATGTGTACAGGAGGGAGTGATTGAGCGTGGATTGAAGAAGAAGCATCTGACGGGTCTGGCCGGTGAGCACGAGGAGAAGGAGCAGAAGGAGGAGGAGGAGAATGTGAGCAGGAGACTGACAGTTTGGGAACAGCGGCCGAGCTTGACGTCATGCCGTACAAGGGGGAGAGACCGGATCACCTTCGAGTGGAGCAGCAGGTTGAAGGAGGAGAAGGAAGAGGAGGAGGATCTGAGGAGATGTGGGCAGATGCTGTTCAGGAAGGAGTGGAGAGTGCTCACGCCGGCACAGAAGAAAATGTGAGTAGAGAGGAAGAGGAAAGGATCCAGGAGGGAGGGCATGACGAGGGAGGACGACAGCATGCTGGCTGGCGGTATTGTGAGCAACAACGCTGTTGGATTCTCCAAGATGTGCCAGGTAAGGGGAAGGAGAAGGGAATACGAAGGGGCTGACAGAGATCAGGAATGCATGGACGGGTCTCCGGAGTGCGCACAGAAGGTGAGGGAGGAGGGAGGGAGGGAGGATGAGTGAAGGGATAAAAATGGAGGAGAACGAAGAGAAAGAGTGGAGGAGAGGCGGAGGCTGGCAGGTTTGCTCAATGCTTGGGCGCAGGGAATCACCAAGAGCCCGACTGTCGGCATCACCTGGCAGAACGTCATCACCCGCAATGCCGACGGGACACAGCATGTGAGGAGGGAGAGAAGGGGGCGGTGGGAGGGGAAGAGGAGAGGGAGAGGTGGAGATGATAACGAAGATACTGCAGACATGGACGATGCAGGAGCGAGAGACTGAGTGCCACGCCAAGTGTCTTCCTAACCACCCTAAGGTGGGTGGCACGTGAAGAGGAGAGGGGCAGGAGGAGGAAGAGAGATGGGCGAAGAGAAGGAGAGGGGAGGAAGAGGAGGAGAAGAGAGAGTGTGATGACTGCGCGCAGACCAACGTCATCTGCAAGTGCCTTCTCGATTGCTCGCTCGGTGTGGACGCGGATGTGTGCAGGATGAGTGCGCACTGGAATCTCGTGAAGGTAGGAGGATGAGGACGACAGGGACAAGGGTAGAGAGGAGTGAGAAGAGTGAAGGTACAGAGCAGGAAGAAGAAACGGGCATGGAGAAAGAGGGCAGGCGGACGAGGTTGCAGGATGAGGGCAAGCCTGAGACATGGACAGGCTCGTATCATTCCTCTTGTGCCTGCGGACGGCGACGGCAGCTGCGTCAACGTGAACGTGAAGGCGTCGTCGATTTTTCCTGCGATCAAGTACCGACCTGAGTAAGTCAAGGGAGAGAGAAGGAGGAGGAGGAGGAGGAGAGGGTAGTGTGGAAGGGGGAGACAGCAGCCACGACTTGCGTCAGTGTTTCGTATCTCCGCCCGTTGGTTACTGGGAGGCACTGACGTTTGTTTGTCTCGCCAGTCTCTGGGACAACGAGAACGCGAACAACTTCGCCATCACTCTCTGGTACAAGCCAAGACCCTCCAAGAGCTGCAAGGAGCTTTCCGTGCACAGCATCCTGTGAGTACTTGAAAGCCCTTCCTGTTGCCTTCACGACTCCCAGTTCGTTCCTACTGCTGCTTCCTGCCTGTGCTTTCGTGCTCCTGGCTCTTCCCTGGCTCTTCTTTGCTGCTCCTGCTTCTGCAGCCCTCACCTGCTCTTCTACGTGTGATGGATCTGCAGGTACAAGGGCCCCACTGAGGTCAACTACGACGCAGAGCCGGTGGCGCTGGAGGTGGACATGACGAACTGCGAGAGCGCAGACATCGCGCTGCTCCCCATCATCGCTACGGTAGCCGGACAAGACTTGAGGTCCGGATCATCTTGTCCTTCCCTCGTCCTCTTGTTTCTACTCCTCTGCCTCCTCCTCTTCCATCCGCCTCCTCCTCGACTCTCTTCCTTTTCTTCCTCTCCCCTTTGCTTCTCATCTTTCTCGCGTTCTTCATCCCTCTGTCTCTCTCTCTCTGTCTCTCTCTCTCCCTCTCTGTCTCTCTCCCTCTCTCTTTCCTTCTGCCCCGTCTCTGGCGTGCACTTCCTCCTACTCTGCTCTGCTCCCCTTCCGCCTCCCCATTCCCTCCCTGTGCTCTCCAGAGGTGAGGGAACGAGCAGGTCAACGACGGGCATCTCCAAGGACGGCTGGAGCTTCATCTCCATCATGAAGAAGGGCCAGGACGTCAGCCTCTGGCTGGGGGTCGAAGGAGTGCTGAGGAAGGACGCGAGCATGGTGCTGCCGGACAGCGCGGTCTACGTGGCGACTAAGGAGGATGCGATCTACCTGGTGAGAGAGAGGGGGGAGGACAGGAGGGAAGGCAGGGGACAGGGATGGGATGGGAAAGGAGAAGGGAGGCAGAGGACAGGGCAGACAAGGGAGGAGAAGACGCTGGCGGAAGGAGGGGAGGGAGGAGGGAGAGGGGGATGGGGGAGAGGGTAGGGAGCGGAGGAAGGGGAAGGCAGCAAGGCAAGGAGGAGGAGGAAAGGGAGGAGGAGTTTGAAGGTTGGGAAGGGAAGAGACGGGGATGCTCAAGTACCTGCAGGTGGCGCCGACAGCTGGAGCAGACAGGATCCCGTACGGGTGGGTTGGCAAGCTCAACTACATCCCGGCGTCGTTGTGGGAGCCTGAGGTGAGAGGGCGAGAGGGAGGAGGGGAGGGAGGGAGAACAGCCAAGATCATGATGACGATGATGATGATGATGATGTTGTTGTTGATGATGATGATGATAATGATGAGGAGTTGACGCTATTATGCAGATTCAGAACGTTTTCAATGAGAAGGCGCCGAAGCTCTGTGGTATGTAGAAGCTCAATCGCAGATGTACCTCGTGCTGGCTGTTGCAGTAAATGCTCCATTGAAGAATCATGCATTGCATCATCCTCCTTCGCATTCGCTTCTCCTCCTCCTACTTCCAGTCTCCATCTTCCACTCAACCCTCTCGTCATCCTCCTCCTGTTCCTTGTCCACCCAGTCGCCCTCACTCCTGGCGTCGACATATACCTCTGCGCTCGTTTCTCCGTCGTGTCACTCTCAGATGATCTTTCTCGGCTTCAGCACGTAGATGCACCGCAGGAGGGAAAGACAAGAGGATGAAACAGACCAGGAGGAAGGAGAGAAAGGACCGGAAGGAGGAGGAAAAGGACGAGAAAGAGGAAGAAAGAACAGGATGGGGAAGGCAAAGGAAAGCGGGGAGAAAAAAGCCAGGAGGAAGAGGACAAGGACAGAGGATGATGATGATGATGATGATGATGATGATGATGATGATGATGATGATGATGATGGAGATGATGATGGAGATGGAGATGGAGATGGAGATGGAGATGGAGATGGAGATGGAGATGATGATGATGAGGAGGAGGAGGAGGATGAGGATGAGGAGGATGAGGAGGAGGAGGAGGTTCTCTTGCTTGCTTTCGCTTTTCCCATGTAAATGCACTGCTATCATCAGCAAGAGATGATCAAAACTTTAAATTGTATCCCATACTCTTCCCTCATCCATGTATGTTTGAACCAGCAAGTCTCCACTCATCCTTGTATGTTTCAACCACCAAGTCTCCGCTCATCCTTGTATGTTTGAACCAGCAAGTCTCCACTCTGGTCATACAGAAATTTTGCCGCGTCCGAAATT